TCCCCCCATCCTCCCCGGGAGACCCCCAGCCGAGGCGCTGAGGCATGTGGTCCTGCAGGTGGTATATGACGAAGGGCCCCTCTACGTCTTCTCCCCGACGGAGGAGTTGCGCAAACGCTGGATCCATCAGCTAAAGAGTGGTGAGTTTGGGGGCTCTGCGGCTCCCTGGGAAAGCAAACACAAGCAATCGGTTGTGCATGCGGTATGACCCAGAGCACCAGGTTTCCGGCTGTTCGCTATCTCGTGGTTACGTTATCCCATGTCTACGGAAGAGCAACTACTGATCAGAAACATCTCTCATGACGAGCGCACTCATAAGGCCTTTCCCCCCATGCACAATCCCTAACATCCCTGAGCTGACACCAGCCACTCCTGCTCTGGGGGGATGGACCCTCACCTCTGTTACCCTCTGACCTCTGTAGCACTTCAGCCACCTTGGTTGAGGCTTCTTGCCCTCACAAGCCTGCTCCAAATTACCTCAAGCAGGCTCAGAAGCTATTTGAGGGCAAGAGGAGATAGCAGATGTGGCCACGCAGCTGTACTGACATGCAAGGCAAGGGTAGAGCCCCCCCAGTGCTTTAGGAAACACAGACAAAAAGCCTGCTGGAAGCCAGGGAGCGTTTCTTGCAACCCACCCCGAGCCTTGCTCAGTGCTGCTGACCTAACGCTGAGCTGTGTGAGTGCTACCTCCTCAAGCTGAGAGTGTGTTGCAGCAGCACTGTGCAGAGGGGTTTGGGTGCTTGCAGTCAGCTGAAATGTGCTGGAGCTGCCCCTATGTGTCTCTTGGTGCATGTGTATCTTTCTGTGGCTTTGTGCTGGTGGGAAGAGATTAGCTGCTCGAATTGACACAAGGAAGTTTGCCCAAGTGAGGCGGAAGCAAAGCAGGCTGATAACAGGGAAGTTGGTTATTTCATGACAGCCCTGCTGCTCTGCTCCAGCAGGCAGCCAGCCCTCTTCCCACTTCCCTGCTATGGGAGGGAGGTTGCTGTGGCAGCTGAAGCCAGGGTAAAATCCACAGGGAAAAGGGGAGAGAAAATGCTGGCCTTTTGCTGCCGGGATGCCCTCATCCTGCTTTGCCAGAGAAGGGGCTCTCTTCACTCCGTGAAGCTGCTGTGGGCCAGCACCGTGTGGAGGTGGTGCATAGGCACATCCAGTTGTCCCTGTAGTTTGGGGAGAAGTATGAGGAAGCCAGTTGGCACCTGCCTGGCAAGGGAACAGTCTCCCAGCAAGGGAGGTCTCTGAGCAGGTGGGGGATGGTGGCACTACCCTGCTCTCCCCATGGACAAGCCAGGCACAGCACTGGCCTTCCTCCCCACTTCTGAAAAAGAGTTCAAAAGAGCTGTGAACTGTGGGCCTCAGCAGCCTTGGGGATGCTGGATGTTTCAGCTGGCAGGAGGGACTGTCACAGCAGGACCTGGCCCTCCAAGCATGCTCGTGTCCCTTTGCAGAGCTGCTGAAGAGCTTTGATCAAATCAGAGAGGAAAGGCCTGGCCCTCCTCGAGCTAGTGGTTTTGTGGCACAAAGTTTGCAAAGCTACAGCGATGATGGAACACAAGCAATGACCTGAGGGAAACCCGAGCAGCAGGGCCACATGTGACTGTGTATCAGTAGCACAGCCGAGCTGTGAAATGATTTAATGGGGCATTTAGGGAGCGGAGAGCTCTCCACAGCACGCTGGGGACACAGCCCTGGGTCACGCATGTCTCCCCTCCTCTGCCACAGTTATCCGGTACAACAGTGACCTGGTACAGAAGTATCATCCCTGCTTCTGGATCGATGGCCAGTACCTCTGTTGCTCCCAGACGGCCAAGAATGCCATGGGCTGCCAGATCCTGGAGAGCAGG